CTTATTCTTTATCAGATTGATTCGGTTTGATCATATTGAAAATATTTTTTAAAATTCAAAACAAACTAAATTAATTGATTTTAATTAATTTAGATACTTTTGGTTCTAAATCGAATAAATTGATCTATACATCTCTAAACATAGTTTGACCGTGTGGACACAAGTTATGTCCAAACAACATCTATGAGGCTATGTCAATTGTCAACTGTCGAGGTCGTAATGCTCTTGAATTTTGGGTCCATAATGTTTTAATGGGCCTAGAGTTAATGTTCAAAACTTCAAACAACCTTTGTAAGAGTGTCAGCTTTGTATTTAAAACTTGAGATAGAACTTAAAAATGAACAAATTGCTAAGGAATTTCCATTAATATCTTGGCATATTGCGCAAGAAATTTCTCTATTTAATGTTTATGTTATTCCAAGTACATGGTGTTATGTGTTTCTTGGATAACAGAATATGCGAGTGTAATGCATTTCAAGAAATCACATGACTAATTTGCTCATAAAAAACTAACTTGTTCTGACCAAGAAGAGATAAAAAAGAGAAAAAAAACTGGTGTTGAAGCCTGTAGTTCATGTTCATCCCTCTTGCTTTTCGTTTGTTCCTATTTGGGATTGTAGAAAATAAAGTTAAAGATGATTGCAGAATACACCACAATGTTTTAAGGTGGATCAACATCGGTTGTGTATGGTCATGTTCCCCAATTTTTTTTCTCAACGCATTTATGATAATCAAGGTTGTATGTTAGTATGTATATATACTAGTCTATTAATGATTTAATGGGGTTTAGTGGAAATGACAAACTCCTCAAATGTGACTAATTAAGTTTTAAATATCTTATAAGAGAGATATAATATATAGTACTTAATAACATGTTTGTTTAATATTTTTCTTGAAAATGTGTGTGTTTTTTTTTTAAAATAAAGTAACCAGTTTCGTCTTCTTTTTTGTGTTTATTTGATTTTCTATAGAAACAATTTTTTATCTGCTTATTTAAAAAAAATATTTTTTAAAGATTTTTTAATTTTAAAAAAATTAGTCCAATAATATGCCAATCAAGCAAGGGCGAAGGCAGAAACTTGGTTTGAGGGGTCAATATATAAATATTTTAACATCATAAATAGTTTATTATCACTTATATTTATTTATCTCTCTTTTAATCATATTATATATCAATCTCACATATATTTTCTTCCTTTTATTTTTCTAAGTGTAAATTAACATGATATTTTTCATGTATCAATTTATAATATATTTTTTTATATATAAATTCTAAATGGGGCCAAAAAAAATTTAAAAGTAATTTTAGCACATTTAAAGAAAAAGGAAAAACCATGACTTTCCAGGTCCTTCCTTCCTCTATCTTGCCGCTAAGGTTGTCTTTAAAGAAAAATAATTGTTGAGAGAAAAAAAGAGGTTACATATTGTTGAAATGCAAGTAAAGTCTCACCTCGTTCTGTTAAAGCAAAATAAGGTTGCTTGAGAATACTTGAAACTTGAGGGTACTCGAAACTCGAGAGTACTCGAAATCGTGGAGGATCGAAAAATAGTAAAAAAGAGCTCTGGAAACATGCGAAATATAAGAAGAATCGGGAGACACTAGAATACATATTTCGCGAAGCACTCGAAATCCTTGAAACCCTACCACTCATAAAAATGTTTCATAGCTTCGCAACCTCTCAAAGTGAAGGAGTTAAAAGAGACATGGTTAGAAATAGCTTCTGAGTTGACGAAGTACATGCGAAGTACAAGAAAGATCAGGAGACACTCAAATATATCTTTCGCGAATCACTCGAAATCCTAGAAACCTGGCCATTCATGAGCATGCTTCGCAACCTCTCGAAATGAAGGAGTTAGAGGAGACACAGTTAGAGACAGGTCGAAGTAAATTGAATGGATAAGTATAAGAGACTACAGAGCGGTTTGGGGGTTATAAACGGTTCCGGAAGTTATTAGAAGACGTGCATGAATGACCCACGATATGGAAGTTTAAAATGGTTATATTCGTGGCACGACATATACAATTATTATGATTCCTCAAATCTCTATAAATTAACAAGTCGCGGTCATGGAAAAAGGTCAGAAATAGTATACTCACGAAAACTCACAAACACTCTTTGTCTGTGCATATGACTCTCGTGTACGAGACTGTTGAGTACGATTTCTTGACCTCCTTTCCTTTTTCTTTGTAGTTTAGGTGTAGTGTAGTTTAGTGTAGTTTGCTAATCACTCATTATTATCTTTATACATTGTAATTCTGTCATTGTTGAATAAAGGATATGATTTCTGCAATCAATATACGTGTTGTTTATTCGATTCATATTAATGTTCATATGCATGAAATTGATTGTGTGATAGATATCAATGATTATCTAGATATTCTGGTATGCTAAAAAAGTATAATTGTACCCTAAACTAACTCTATATGTTGTGTGTATGATTCATCAATGAAAAATTGTAAGAGCTTGTCGCGTTATACATGCCTAAATTGAAATCTTGCTAGTTTGAATAAAAAGGACCTACAAACAAAAATCACCACAAACACGTTCAAATAGGAGGATGAACATGAATTTATATACACATAATTATATTTATTAATTAGAGTTCTTTTAGACAATATTCAAAAATAAAACAACATTGAGACCTATATGTGTGAAAGCATGATTTTAAGAAAATTCATAAAGACGTGTGCATGGGTTATATGAAGCATAATTCTTTAGATTTTTTGATTTTGAAATACATAAATTTTATAGCACGTTTAAGAGTCATTTTATCATTCTCATTGTTAGAATATCCGGTACATATATCATGATATATATCATACTTTTTTTTTTTGAATTTTTTATTTGATTTGATTTGTAATCTTTTTATTAAGAGTTAGTTTGGATATAAATTTAGAATTTTTTTATAGAATTTCTCTACTTAAAATATACTCTTCATTTTTAGTAAATAAACTCTCAAAAATACTTTGAACTTATATCCAAAAAAGACTCTAATAATATTGACACATATCATACTATTTAGATTTCATGTTTTTTTTTATTTGATATAGTATAAATGATAGTTGTAGTGTCCACACCCGTCATAAAATATTTGACATTTTTCTTTATCTATGTCTTTTTTATTGTTATTTCATATCATTTATTATATCTATCATTTTGCTCTCTTCTATTTTTATTTCTTTCTTAGTGTAGACTGTAGATGATAGTTGCGGTGTCCACAAAAGGAAAACATTTCCTTTTACTGATATAAGTAAAAATTTATGCTTTGTTTCTTTTATTAAGAACCTAATATCATTATATATACTTGTTAATTAGCAACTATTCAAGACATAAATCAATTGATGCACATAATTATTTTAGTTTAAAGTGATTTTGAATTTGAGTTTTGAATATGTAATTGGATTAAGTATTTGGAAGAAATTTTTGTTGTTGTTTATAATATAACAAAATTACTTTTAGTGGAAGATTCTTGTGGTATAAAAAAATTAATTATACTTTACTACAAAAAATGATATTGTAGTGACACGCATCCTGTACAGTAAAATAATATTTATTATTAAAAATTATTTTTATTTACATTTATTATTGTGCATGACACTTTTAATGATGGGTAAAAATGACTTTTTGCATGAATTTTTTTAGACTCGTCATAAAACTCAACAATACAAAAAGTCTTGACTTTTTATATTAGTTATAAAAAGAACTAATATAAAATATCTTGACTTTCTATGTTGATTATTTTTATAACTGGCATAAAAAGTTTTATTTTTAGGTTAACAATTGCTTCTCCATGGTATTTTTTTTTCTCTTGTCACATCTTTTCGTATTTTATCACCAATTTTTTTTCTTTTCGTTGTTACATCTCTTTGCATTTTGGTATCATGTTCATTCTTTCTTGTCGCATCTCTTCACATTTTGTTGTTGTGATATCTTATTCTCGTTGCATATCTTTATGTTTTGTTATCACATTGTTTCTCTTTTGTTGCATCTTTTTGCATTCTCGATTGCCTTTTTTTTCCTCTCATTCTCGCATCTTCTTTTGTAGTCACTATGTTTTGCGTTTCATCACCACCATGTTTACTTCCAAACCCACACTATCAATATTTGAACAATAACAATATAGAAAACACACAAAGAAAGAAAAAAAGCAAAATAATTTTTTACCTAGATGTACAAGATGGAGGATAATAAAGAAAATAAGACATACTAGGAACAAGAGTTTGGAACATGAATTGCATTTTTTATCTAAAATTTTAAAGCACTTTTTATGTTGGATGTTATTTCACTCGTCATAAAAAAAGTTTTTATAAAATGAGTGTCATTACTCTCATTATATAGAAAGGTTGGGGTTAATTGTAATATATTTTATGACGGGTGGAGACTTACTTGGCATAATAAGAACTTTCTATGACAAGTGAACAACAGTCGATAATAAATTTTTTTGTCATATTTGCAAATTTGTCATCATCTCACTTTTTATATCGTGTGAATTACATATAACATAAAATATTCATAATAAAAAACTTTTACTCGAAACTCGAGAGTACTCGAAATCGTGGAGGATCGAAAAATAGTAAAAAAGAGCTCTGGAAACATGCGAAATATAAGAAGAATCGGGAGACACTAGAATACATATTTCGCGAAGCACTCGAAATCCTTGAAACCCTACCACTCATAAAAATGTTTCATAGCTTCGCAACCTCTCAAAGCTTGTTAACAATATTTATTATTTTCATTACTTATGTTGTTCTATTTTTTTTAATTTTGTGTTGAGATTTTGGTGATGAAATGGTGATAAATGATCTATTCCTTCCAATCCTTTGTTTAGGGTTGCATCATTAAAATTATATTTAATATAAATATTAATTATATATGTAATTATACATATTAATTAATAAAGAGGTAAAACTTCAATTATGATGGAATAACAATCCTAATATATAAGAACTATACACTTAAGTTTTAAAAGTTTATCTGAATTAAACATACATATGCATCTAAAAGTATTTTTAGATTTCACATATTATTTCTATAAGTAAAAGTGTACGAGGTACATGCCACTTTTCTTGTAATAAACGTACAACAGATGATCTCCATATTTTTTACAGGTTTGAAAATCAATAACATTTATGAAGAATATTTGAAAGCTGAAACACACTCTTATTGGATTAACTAACCAAGTAATTGAACATTTAATTTTCCTTAATATTTTTGCTATATTGTGAAAATATCAAGCAATTAATAATCGGCAAAAGAGGTGAACTAATGGTGGAGCGTCTGCATAGCTTTACAACTAGATGGGCCTCTCTTCTTCCTTCTGATGTGACTCATTATTTGACTGTGACATGAGAGGCTCATGTTGCAATCCTTCTTCCAACCTGTTATTTGAAACTCGTTTTGATCCATCTCTGTATATTGCGTATAGCCCTAATTGCATTGCTCCCAGAAAAAATCCAGTGCCATTTGGTACCTTTAGTTTGTAATTTGTACAACAGAATATTATATTTACTTTATGGAAAAGACGCAATATTACTGTCTTCTAATGAAGTATAATTAATTAATAAATCCTGTGTTTGTACTTTGTACATCACTTAATAACATTTAACTTTATTAAAATTCTATTTTTGATAAAGTCGTGTTTAATAAAAATAGAATCATAACTAATACTATTAGGATCAAAGAATAATATTGCAAACCTACCCCGAGAATAACATCACGAACAAGAATAGCGTACAACAACCAAACGCCACCGTTTAGAAAGAAGAAAAAGGAAAGGAAGAATGGCATATATTTCACGCTTTTAGTCGTCACCACTGTTTTCTGAAAATTACGAGCATGTATTATTAACAAGACAAGATTGAAAAGTATGAAAGCTTTACTATAAGTAGTAACAACACATCATTTGGTACGCATAATTAATTACCTTCTCATATGTATTTGGTAGTTGGTTGGTGCATCAATGTCATTAAAAAAAAAATCATTCATTTCATGCATCAACGTTTTGTAAAATCATAAATATATTCACATAATGTCAGCCTGTGATATATCATCAGTTTTTGTCAGCCTATAACACGTAATAATGACGGATATATATTCACATATATTAGAGCCACAGGCTTAGGGCCTTAGGGGATATGCATGTTTCCATGGTGGGGTTAGGAAGGGAAAACATGGAGAGAGATAATTTAGTTTTTCAATTGAGAGTTTTAAAATGTATAAAAATAAATAAAGTCTTATTTTAAATTAAAAAAATGAAAAATTAATTTGTAAACAAGGAGTTTTTTTTTTTTTTTTCCTGTTTTGATATTTTGTTAAAATAAATATCTAAAAGGGTGTATTAACTTGCAAGGACTAAAGGGTACACATGAACTTAATTTACTCACGTGGTGGATCTAATTCAACAAATGCTATTATTGATGTGCAAGTGGGAGACGATCCGTCACTCATGTCATCATGAAACGACAAATACTTCAAAAACAATGTGGCCTCTGTGGGACGGTATACAGTGCCATAAAGATGAAATGCAAAGAAGAAACATGAGAACCACATATTTGAAGGACACTTTTGGAGGTTCCTCCAAAAACATCGAAAAATCAAATTAAATAATTGAATTTCACACTCAAATCTGCAACACGAGGCTCTATGTATATGCCACGTAACATTACTATATCCATTTTTCTGTTATATCACCTTACTTACTACTCTCTTTTATGGCTTGTATTTATATTGTTTTAAGAAAACTATATATTAATTAGTTGGGTCGGAAGCAGCTGAAACGTGTACTCATCCAAAAAAGAAATTGAAAATATTTAATTCTCACAGCTATGAGCAATATGATGAAAGTGATATGTGCATGATAAATTTTGTTGTTGTAATTTTTATGGAATAGAAAAATATGTAATATAAGCGATAGAAGTTTTCCGACTAGCAAATGCTCAATAGTGTGGGTGTAATCCAAAAAATCTCATGATATTTTTTTATATGAATTATTCTGTGGAGTAATTAAACTTATTTTAAATATATATATTCACCATAAAATAAGAGAAAATTAGAAACTGATGAAAATTCGAATATCTATCTCTTGTTATCACAAAATAAGAATATAGAGATATAGTATAATGAGTATCACATGGGAAATATTTTTTATTAATAGGTATACGTGGCATTTCAAGCATTTATAGGTATGTCACTGGTGCGAAGATAATGATGATTGATGAACCCAAAATTGAAATTGTACTTCAACAAATATGACCGATCTATATAATATATTTTCTTCCCAGTTTTATGCGACAAAGAAAATTACTAGCTATTTTGGGAAATGATCCATTTGTTTGCCTCAGAACATGAATACATAGATAAGAGAAGGGATAATGCGGCTTTATGTACTCAATGAATGATTGACCAATAAACCTATATAGCCAGTTTTTATTTTTTAAAAGATCTTGATGTCGGTATCTGTCTATAACTTATGAATACATGTCTTTTAACAAATATATATATATATATATATATATATATATTAAACAGAAGGTATATATATATATATAAATGATAAATAATTATGTAAATATATGTTTTTAATTTATATAAAATTAATAAATTTTGATTCTAGTCTCTTCTTTTTTTCATCTTATTAAAAGTCGAACTATTGTCTTTAATTTTTTTAATCATTTTTAATTATTTCTTATTTGTTAATGAGTATCATCCTAAATATTACTCATAATTATTAATGATATAATGTATGATGTTTAACACTTCTAATTTTTTTATTATAAATTTTTAAATTAAATATTATCTATCTTAAAATGATCATTAAAGACTAAAAATAGTTTATTTATATTTTAAAGAGATAAAAATTAAAAAATGTAATAATTAAAATTAAAATTTACTAATTTTACATGATGAAAACAATGTTATAAATTTAAAAAAAAATATAGAAATCAAAATATGTCATTTTTTAAACATATTTAAGCTTCTAAATAATAAGTACAGTGAGATGATAGAGGTCTGGTTTTCACACTCTAGATATTTTGGATCCTTGTGTAAAAGATAGAATGGTACAGAGAGAGGACAAAAGAGAATTATATGAAGCTGAGAGAATTAGTGAAGGTGAAGCTTACCATGACAGAAAGAGGTGAAGAATACATAACGATGTTCAAGCCTGCACCCATGATACCAACAGCACCACTACGAGCCTCTCCGTGCAATGCTATTTGAGTAATAACTATTGCTGCTGCCAAGATTCCCACATCCAAAAGCAAAGCCAGAATGCAAGCCTTAGCCTGAAATTGGATTCAAATTAATTAGTATATCACCACTTTAATTATAATAGAGGGACTTGATTTCTAAGGTATAATAATTAGAACTGGCTTGTATATATATCTTTATATATAAAACCAAGCCTCTTACAAGTCTTCGTCGTGGTATTCTCAGATCGATTTCAATAATGTTAGAATAATATTTAACTAGTTAAAATTATATTTCATGAATACAAGTTAATTTTTAGTGAATACTGTGTGGAATAGTGAATATGTACATGGAATTTTTTTTAATATAATTAACATATATACTACATACCCTGACCCCTTTTGGTGCATATATGAGAAATAGAATAATGTAGATTGTCTCCACCACGATGCCAAAGCCATTAACAGTGGCCACGAGGTATTCTCCAGCCTTTATGATTCCATAGTAAGTCCACAGGGAGCAATTAAGCAAAGTGCAAATGTATGGAAGGCTCGAGAAATCTTCGGTGGATCTGTGCTTCTTTATTTTCCAAAACGTAGGTCTGCATCGTTTTTTTTTATGCACCATTGATCAGTGGCAAAACAATAAAAGTATATGAACTTTAACAGAAAAGGTACTGAGTAGAGTGGTTTAGGATGAGAGCTTACACAGGAGAAAGAAACATGAGAATTGAAATGATGTTACCTGCAGCAAAAAAAGAAGTGATGAAAGAACAGATGAAGCACACCCTTTTTTAGGGAATGATATAACTTGGTGGTATATGCACTATGTTGTATGTTACCTATCACTCCAACGAAGAAACTTGGTTCTGCCATGAGATTTTGCAGACTAAGCAAGCCTTTTTTCCAAATATGGGTGGTTTAGTTTCTTTATTGTGCATATTTATGGAGTAAGCTAGAGAGATGAGTCAGAAAGAGGTGGAAAGAATTTCACGAACATTATTGGACAGAAATATCAGTATATAGTTGACGTCAAAAGTAGAAAAATTATGGTTGATAATTAGTAGCAGGTTAGGTAGGTCAGGATCACCTTGGACCACTAGGTTAAGAAATTTTGAATCTTTTGATTAAAATCATGTCTGATTAATTATTTTAATGAGAATTAATTTTTATAAGTACTTTTACATTAGTTATTTTGTAATTTATTAGAAAAAAATATTTATTCAAATAATATATCTTAAACAAAATTGATTGCTTTAAAATTATTTTTCTCCTAACATTTAAATATAACTATTAATAGATAAACTAACACTTCATTTGGATATCAATCCGTAAAAAAAATAAAAACACTTCATTTCGATAGAAATTAAAGTAAATTTGAGTGGAAAAAATTAGTGAGAAAAGATGTTGAAGGAATACTAATTGAATTAGTGAGTGAATTTTAGATGAAATTTTGTGTTTTCAATTAGAACGATGGGATTAAGAAGGAATGATATTGGATGATTTATCTTAATTTATTTGGTTACATGGAAACATAAAGAAAAGAATTGAAAAATTCGTGATAAAACAGTTTTACTCCTATATAATCAAAATATAAACATAATTTTGATTTAACAATTATACAATTACTTCAAACAATGATTCAACATTTTTAATATAAAATGGTTCACTACAAAAAAATGTTCCATATAGTGACATACAAAAGTGTCACTATAGGTATAATATATGTAGGTATATACCTATTTGACATATAGCTACATAGAATTTTAGTGTTGATTTTGAATGAAATTTAACAACATATTTTGTATGTCACTATAATCTATACTTATACTTTTTAACAATATACTAACATATATTATATTTATTGTGTGGGTAAAAGTAGTTTTTCGTGACACATATTATGTCACCAGGGACGGATCTACTTACAACGTAGTGGGAGCACTTGCCCCCACTACCATTTTATACATACACAATTTTTTTATCTAAAAAAATTATTTTAAAAAATAAAAATTATATTCTAATAATATATATATTTATTATCTTTATACATTGTAATTCTGTCATTGTTGAATAAAGGATATGATTTCTGCAATCAATATACGTGTTGTTTATTCGATTCATATTAATGTTCATATGCATGAAATTGATTGTGTGATAGATATCAATGATTATCTAGATATTCTGGTATGCTAAAAAAGTATAATTGTACCCTAAACTAACTCTATATGTTGTGTGTATGATTCATCAATGAAAAATTGTAAGAGCTTGTCGCGTTATACATGCCTAAATTGAAAGGATATGATTTCTGCAATCAATATACGTGTTGTTTATTCGATTCATATTAATGTTCATATGCATGAAATTGATTGTGTGATAGATATCAATGATTATCTAGATATTCTGGTATGCTAAAAAAGTATAATTGTACCCTAAACTAACTCTATATGTTGTGTGTATGATTCATCAATGAAAAATTGTAAGAGCTTGTCGCGTTATACATGCCTAAATTGAAATCTTGCTAGTTTGAATAAAAAGGACCTACAAACAAAAATCACCACAAACACGTTCAAATAGGAGGATGAACATGAATTTATATACACATAATTATATTTATTAATTAGAGTTCTTTTAGACAATATTCAAAAATAAAACAACATTGAGACCTATATGTGTGAAAGCATGATTTTAAGAAAATTCATAAAGACGTGTGCATGGGTTATATGAAGCATAATTCTTTAGATTTTTTGATTTTGAAATACATAAATTTTATAGCACGTTTAAGAGTCATTTTATCATTCTCATTGTTAGAATATCCGGTACATATATCATGATATATATCATACTTTTTTTTTTTGAATTTTTTATTTGATTTGATTTGTAATCTTTTTATTAAGAGTTAGTTTGGATATAAATTTAGAATTTTTTTATAGAATTTCTCTACTTAAAATATACTCTTCATTTTTAGTAAATAAACTCTCAAAAATACTTTGAACTTATATCCAAAAAAGACTCTAATAATATTGACACATATCATACTATTTAGATTTCATGTTTTTTTTTATTTGATATAGTATAAATGATAGTTGTAGTGTCCACACCCGTCATAAAATATTTGACATTTTTCTTTATCTATGTCTTTTTTATTGTTATTTCATATCATTTATTATATCTATCATTTTGCTCTCTTCTATTTTTATTTCTTTCTTAGTGTAGACTGTAGATGATAGTTGCGGTGTCCACAAAAGGAAAACATTTCCTTTTACTGATATAAGTAAAAATTTATGCTTTGTTTCTTTTATTAAGAACCTAATATCATTATATATACTTGTTAATTAGCAACTATTCAAGACATAAATCAATTGATGCACATAATTATTTTAGTTTAAAGTGATTTTGAATTTGAGTTTTGAATATGTAATTGGATTAAGTATTTGGAAGAAATTTTTGTTGTTGTTTATAATATAACAAAATTACTTTTAGTGGAAGATTCTTGTGGTATAAAAAAATTAATTATACTTTACTACAAAAAATGATATTGTAGTGACACGCATCCTGTACAGTAAAATAATATTTATTAGTCATTATAAAGTATGTATCACTATATAGCAATTTTCTTATATTGATTGGTCAATATTTTGTCCAGATAAAAAATATTTGAAAAAAAATACATATATTCAAATTGTCGGCAGTAATATAAAGAGTGTTAGATATGTAAAAGTAAAAAAACATCTGTATGAATTAAAAAAGTATATGACATTATTTTCACTATTGATATTAAAAGTTATCAAGTTCAAGGAATATATATTATGAAATATTATAAAATTTCACTTTACAAATATCCTGTTCTCGTTATCAATATCTATTTTTAATATATATAATATATCATAATATAATGTTTAAATTTTTTAAAGTTTAGTAACTTTTGACATCAATAATGAAAATATATAATATACCATATACTTTTTAATTTACATAGATGTTTTTTTTTTAATCTTTATGTACTTTTCACTTTTTTTTTTTATTATCACTAACAATTTATATACATGTATTTTAGTTAATTTCCCTTCAAAATCACGATTCAAGAACAAGGAAATGAAATATTGTGGGATTCACATCTTATCATTAATTTTCCTTCTTAATTTCTTTTCAAATAAACTAAAAACTTAATATTCTTTTTAAATCTCTAGTCAAGTTTCACTCTCTTAAAGCAAAATTTCATTTTCAAAATCAAATCAATTATTAAATTGATCAAAATACTGAATTAGTGAGTAAAAGATCGAATCAATTGATTTCTAATTAAATTATTTGACATAGTTTTTATTAATTACTTAAATTTTAATATAAAAATATATAAATATAGAAATTTATATTAAAATTAAATATATAATAATAATATTACTAATATAAAAATAATTTATACTAATAATTTATACCAATAACTGCCTCAAATGAATTACATGTTCGATTCTCAATCAGTCTGAACCGTGTGACTTCTGGACCCTTCCACGTGCCACCTACATGCATTCAATTACGCACTTCCACCTTAGTCCAACGTCCTATGTAAGCTACCCTTCAATTGGACCCATGCAATTGGAACAAGCCCATTTTAGTGATCCATCTCCAGACCTTCTGGACAATGAGTAATGTTAGTGGGCCGACTAATGACAAAGTCAAGAGGCCCAAATGACAAGCAAATATACCTATGAGACTCAACAATTATATTTTTTAGCTTGCTTTTTAAAGCATTGTATTGTTTTTATTAAACCATGAATGAAGTGAAGTTATTTTTATTATTAGATAGCCTTAGTTGTAGTCCCTCCTTAGTATTTTTTTTCTCACTAGTATATTTAATAACAATAATTAAGAAAAAACAATTGGGATTATATTGATTGAAATCTCTCATTTGTGTATACAAATGAAGGTACAAGCAAAGAAAATTTAAGTGATCAAATAGAGGCAATTGAAGAATGATTGTGTGAAAAAATATGATCAAAATCTTATAATTTATATTGAACAATTTTTTTGTTTAATTCAACGGATATATAAAATGATAAAAAAATATTTTTTATTGATTAAATAATTTTGTTTCAATCAACATATTAATTCTAAGTGATTAAATGAATTTGGATGACAAAATAGAAGTAAACACACAGACAGATCCACAAACTTGTATGATCTAATATTTTAAAAATATATTTTGTAGGCTTAAAAATATTTTTAGTTTATCAAATTTAAAATTGTTATTTTTAATTTTTTGTAATTTTAAAAAATTTTATTTTAATTTCTTATGTCACTAATAATATATTTAAAAATGATAGATTAAGACAGTTGTATATCATCAATTAAGTTTAATATGATATTTTTACTAACAAATATATCGATAGGTAAATTTTATGCAATAATATTTGACAGATTCCTAACAAAATTTAAATTTAAAAATTAAAACAAGACATTACATGGATTAAAAAATTATTATTAAATTTTAAAGACTAAAAAAAAATTATCCTAAATTTAAGAAACTAAAAATATATTTTACTCTATTTTGTAACATAAATCCACAATTTTTGAAGAGGGAGAGTTCTCTTTCTAGCACCTAGTTTTGAAAATGAGACCAAGAAAGTTTGTTCTCAACATTCAAATTTTATTTTTAGGTTTTCAATACTGTTTATGTCCTAATTAATATCGTCTGTTGGAGTTGCTATAATTTTTAAGGAGACAAAATTTAATTTAAAAAAAACTTACTAAAAATCTTTAAAACACAATTGAACTTTAATTTCCTTTTTATATTTTTTGAGTCTCACTTATCTAAAGTAAATAACCTATAAAGTGAAATCATTATCAATATTTTGTGGTAATGAATTAATAGGCTTTCGTGAGAGGGAAAGGCCAGGTATCAACAAAAATTTACTTCAATTACTTGAACAAGTAAAGGAAAGGAAGTGGATTAAAAAAAAATATAATTATAAAGACAAAGAGAAAATCTATTTTAAATTATAATGACTAAAAATATAAAATTAGAAAAACTAAAATTAAATTAAGTTAGGTAATTTTTAACGATGAGTTAACTCGTTTTGAGAAGTGTAGCGTAAGCGTAGTGCGTAGCTACCTCACCAACACTGCGAAGCCACGTCACTTTCATAAACCAGGCCACCTGCCACCGTCACTTAAAATCATCAAAAACAAAAACTCATTCAGAGAGAGAAAGCAAAAAACAAAACACAAAATGAACGAAGACGCCAAAAAGAGCACTCCCGGACCTCTAACGGCGAGGCCCGGCCCCGATGACCGGAAACCGTTATCGTTGCCGTCAACGGCGCCGCCCGTCCCCCCGAAGAAGGTCATCATCAAGAGCGCCGACATGATCTCCGACATGCAGAAGGAGGCCGTTGATATCGCCGTCGCCGTTAGTTTTTTTATCCTCTTTTTTTCCTTTGTTGCATGCTTGCTCCTTTTGGATTCTGTTTCTGGGTTTTGTTCTGCTTCCTGTGTTGTGTCGTAAAGGCTTCACCTTTTTTGCGGAATATTCAGGCGTTTGAGAAGTACAATGTGGAGAAAGATGTTGCTGAGCAGATAAAAAAGGAGTTCGATAAGAGGCATGGCCCCACTTGGCATTGCATCGTTGGTCGTAATTTTGGTAAATCTTTTTTTTCTTTTCTTTTCTTCTTGCACTTTGTGAATGATTTTGGGAATTGGGTTTGCTCGGATTTGTGGTTTATGTGATGTGATTCTTCTCTAGTGGAATTTGAGTAGATCTAAGTAAATTAGTCCTTGTTTGGTTTCAAATGTGTGTTTGCTTCTATGCTTGGTTGGAATTTAGAAGTGTTGCTGAAACCTAGGTTTTTGTTGTTGATGTTGTTGTTTGCTGCATATGGTTGATTCTCTAGTTATGGAATTAGATTTAGGGGTTTGCTGCTTATTTATATTTTCCAGGGGAAATTTGTGAATATTTAGTTTAGTTGGTGTGGTTTGTGTCGATGAAATCACCATTCACCATTACTTATGTATGGTGACAGACATTTTGTTCCACTATGCCCTGAACTCTGCTATTTGATTGTACCGCATAAACTGCAGTGGATGAGTTGTTCCTTCTTTGTTGGTTTGAGAAGTCTTTTCTTGAACTAATGGTTACTGGAGGGCCCTCAAAATTTACATGTTGATACAAGGACAAATGTTCCTTCATATTCCATGCTAGTGTCCTATGATTCTGGGCCCTCAAAATTTTTAATAAGTAACTTGGCTACTCAAAATGTGAACTTGATACATGAAGTGCCGGTCATGTTGGACGAAATGTTCTTCACTGATGTTCTGTATTGTACGGAGGGAAAATATTTGGTCTATTGCTTAGATTAATAATGAGCTAATGACTATAGGGAGTGCTGGAATTTTCAAGTTATATCTATTTGGAGATTAGGAATTCTTCCTTTCATTTTCTGTGGGTATCAAAATGTCAGGGCTCCATTCTGAAAGCCTGCCGCATGTTAACAAGACCCTTTTGGAGATAATTAAAAAGTTATTATTATTGAAGCTCTTTCTCGAGACTTGAATATTACCCTCCCTGTCCAATTAATATTTCAAGCATTGTTCACAGCTCATAATCTGAGGCTTTTGCTAGAATATTTGATTCTAATTTCTAATTTGCGGATCGCATCACCTGTTGCAACCACCACAGCTTGTAATTGCAGTGTAAAGTTCAGTCACATGAAATACTGCAAGGAAACCGCAATAGAGTCGCAACATCCTTCTATTCCATTTTTTTTGGCAAAAATAAATAAAGATTCAAGCTTAAATCTTGTATTTTAATGGGTGTGGTTATGGGGGATGTTAGGAGAGGGAGGGAGGCAATTAATGGTTGCTGTTTGGAATGCTGGGAGGCATGCCTTCTTGGAAAAAAGGGAAGAAAGTGCAGAGTGAAAAATTATTAAAGAAAGGATTTTGTAATATTATAGAATTCTTTTTTATGTTTGGTGCAAACATAAAATAATTTTGCATCGTAATGGCCACAATCCACATCAAAGCAATTGCTATGCCCACAACCGCAATTTAGGACCATATTTTTGGGTGGTTGCCTAGTATTATGATTCACGTTTAAGTTGACGGAACTTGTAATTTTATTTTTAAAATCTGGTAAAAATGGTAATATGCGAGTATGATAAAACTTCAAGGTTTTGAGTAAGTATATGGATAGGCATCTTCATTATTTAATATTAATATTCAAGCGGAATGAAGAGCTCTTTCTTTCTTGAATTATCTTTTCCATTTATTTTCACCCGTCTATATCGCAGAAATTTGCCTTACTTTTCTGGGCTCACATCCCTCTTAAACACAAGAATAATATACCACTCAAAGTGTTCTTTGGATATTGCAGACTTAGACAAGCTTGAATATTGTTCTGTTTGATAAATTTTTGGTACATGTATGAGTAGAATAAAAGAAGAGTTATTTGTTAGAGAAATTTTGTAATGTTCAGTATTATCCATATTCTTGCTGAATTTTGCCAACGCACTTGTTGATCAATTGTCACCAGATCAATATTTTAAACTTGGGTATCATGTTGATGTCCAAGTTCAGCTACTAGGATTTTATGATAATGAGTTCTTATATGGAAAAGGAGTTATTATTTTTTTAATCTTTTACTACAAAAAACCACATCCTATTTGGTTGGATTGGCTATGTGGACCAAACAATGTCATTTTGTCATGTCGAAAACCAACTCTTTGGAGAAAGGGGTGTTCATTAATTGATCTAATCCCTTGCAATTGCTAAAACTAAACTGAAAAATCAATCTACCTACTTTCCCTTAATAGGTTTTGCTTCTACTTTTCTTCTAATACACGCATTCTTGGAAGTCCGTTCATCTATCTCAACACTATCATCTCCACAATGCGTGTGCTCCTGGTACCTTATTGTCCAACATTAATCAACACAGAACATTATTGATCATATTGCTCCATTTCATCCATATAACTTGAAGCCTATGATTTATATCCTCCTCTATCATTTCATTACTTCGTATGATAGATCCAAGTTGCCCAAACTGTGCACTTGATAGTTGATAGGAACCAGAATAGGAATGGTAAAACTGAATTAATATTGATAGTTTGATACTGAATTAGAGTAATATCTGTCTGTTACAAGATGAACAATAGAAAAGAAATAAATAACAGAAAAATGGAACCCTTTTTCTGAGGAAGAACCAGTTTCTTTATTCAGCCCCATCAAATATTCCTTCTAACAAATTCGTTCATACCTCTCTTGACCCCTGCCCCCCACCTTCCCTCTATATAGAATTTTTTTCATCTCCCTCCATACATCACTTGTCACCTGTCCTTTATGTTATACCCCCTTGTAATTCCTTCCTCTCCCTCTAATTCCCATCCTACTCTTACCACTTCTCTTTATTTGTTAGCTCCTAATTGCAGGACCAATAAGTCCAACAATGGGTGACCCATCAGCACCTTATTGTGTGGATTATGGAATTGTAGCCATATTGTGCATTATTTACAAGTAAAACCTAGCATTACCACAATCATGTTGTCTGTTCATATAATACAGATTCAACAAAGTTCATCGTTTACCTTGATTGTTGACTGCATAACATAATTGTCTCTTTTATCCAAACTTAGGGTTGGCTATGTAATGATTTGCAATACAGCATAACATAGGCAGAGTTAATTCTGAATTTTTTAATCTTTAGTAAAATGGTGTCAAGCGAAGGTAACTCTTCTCCCCATTAATTTAAATCAGTTTTATAGTTAAGAGCTTCATTTTAAAAGAGAACATTGTGTTTCATTACATAAGAGTATCAAAGGGTTGATTATTTATAAACTTCGCTGACTCCTGAAATCAGCTAACAGATCCTTTCATATCCAAACTTTGCTAATCATACCATCACACAGCAATGAGTAGAATAAAAGAAGAGTTATACCATTCAGAAAGCAATTTTCTACTTTCTATAACATTACCTTTTCACTCTATCTTTCTGTTACATAATTCATTTCATTCCTCACTTCTCTCATTTTCTTATCTCTCATGATTATTAAAATTTTTTAGGAATTTTTTGCATAAAAATAATTTCTCAAAAGAATAATCACTTGGGCAGATTTTGAGTTTTCAAACTTGAGAGTGCTGCGCACTTAAAGAAGTATGAGGCAAACACAAACAGAAGCACTAGCACTTCAACGTAGTAGCCATACCATGTATCTGTGGACTTCGGCTAAATTTTACTTTTTTTTTTTATAAAAAAAAACCAATATACTAGTAGATGGGAATACCACTGTAATTAGAGTAATGACATTTTACAGGAATTCATGTTAACTTTTAAAACATTGATTTTTCTCTTTTTATTTAAAAATTGTGTTTTTATGTTGATTATATTTGATTTTGTTGTGTCATGTCCTATAACTTTTAAATTAGTCGTGTTTAGTATCATATCATATCATCATATCCACGTTCTGTGCTGTATCCATGCCTTTTGGCAAACACATTTTAATGAAGGTCATAGCCATAAAACTGAGTTACAATATGGTAAAATGATGTGTGTACAAACATTGTATTCTGGATGGATACGGAGTTTTTCTTATGGAGAATCTTGAGAGCTCCTGCTACACTGAAGCCTCAAAGACTAAATATAAAATAACAATCACATTTATTCATGACTCTAAATACATTACCCTTCAAAGGAAAGGAATATTTAATGGCTCAAGCTTATTAATATTAGGCTCCTTATTAACATAAATATGTTCCCTTTTGGTGCCAACCTGGATAGACCTTGAGAAAACAAGTTGAAAATGGTATAATATTATTAATTATTAATTGTATCTTGAAACTTGAAAGTTGTGAATATTATGTTGGGGCTAAAATGGGATGGGGAAACCTGAAGGTTTGGCACAAGCAAAGCTTGGTTTCAACTCATTCAAGTTTCAGTGATGTACTGTTGCTGGCGTAGTTCATGATCCATTTCATTACATTTGCTAATCACCACATGTCATCACATTCTTGATGACGAGATTCAGAACTCTGGATACCGTGGTTTTCTTAATGCACTTGCATTATCATTTTAAGTGGCACAATCTAACCACATCATGTACCGAATCTCGTATCATATCATGTCATTAAATTAAACACTTCATTTATTTTCAATAAAATTCAGACAATTTAAGCAAATGAAGAAAAGTTGCTTAGTTTTGCTTAGCTTAGTGATACCATTGTTACAGTTATAATGTATAGAATCATATTTTGTTATTGAAGTGCATTCATGGACTTGTCTTCCTTTTTGCAGGCTCATATGTGACTCATGAAACAAACCACTTTGTTTATTTCTATTTGGATCAGAAAGCGGTTTTACTATTTAAATCTGGCTAACGGCTAGCAAAGAAGTCAACAGCAATGGAATTGTCTTGTGATTATGCTGCTATATTCACTCCTCCATGTATTAATTTCACTGGCACGCAAACTCTTTTCAGGACATTCTTGTGCTTGTATATTTGATGTCATGTAAACTAGTTCTCAGTTTGGTTATGAATCTAAGTATTACCTCATCTCGAAAATTAGTTCTTTTTCCCCCTCTTCTTAGGAGAGTTTATTTTTTATTTATTTATTTTATTACTATTATTATTATTATAAAAAAAAGCTTTCTGAAGCGTGCCTTAAATTTTTTTGATCTGTTTGCTTTCGGAGATATTCCTATTTTTATTGCTTATTTTTATTTTTTTAAATCATTTAAAATTCTTCACATTTTAAAGAAAAATGTGGTTTCAGTTATTATTTGTAGCCGTTGTCTTATGGAAGGTGAGGATGGCATCCATTGTTTGAGAGATTTTTTCTCTTATCATCATGATTGTTAGAGAGATTGTCTTTGCACGGAGGATCTTGGACGTTAAGTACACTTTATCATGTCACCATATTCGTAATTGGATCCTTAATTTTATCAAGGTTGAGTGTCAATGATTTGACCCCGCTCTTTGGCATCTACGGATGGATCAAAAGTGCCACACATGGAAGGAATTGTTTGACATGTCACTTTATTAACATCATGGATAGAGCGAAAATAATGTATATAGAGGATAAATTTTATTTTAAATTAGTTTTTAAGCATGAGTTAAATTTAAAATTTAAGATTTTGTTAAGTCTATATTAGGTGTTGGTATTAGCTTATCAAATTATTGGTTACCAAGTGATTATTAGATTATTTATAAATATTTAGCCTTGTAAATTTTAACATGAGATTTTCAATTTAAGGTTTAAGAAAGTGTATTAAAGATTTCACATTAACTAGTGTTATGATTAAAATAATGTATATGAGTAATGAATAATTGTCATATTTTAAACTAATTTTTTAAAATGAGAGAAATTCAAACTTAAATTCTAAGAACATATGGGAGTTGTTTTCTTGATACCTAAAAGAATTTTAAGATGCAATATTTGCACCATTGAAGAGAAATTATGTGGGTTCCAATTATAAAATGAGTTGCTTCTTTCAAGAATCATTTTTTTTTTATATTGTGGGGTTATGCTTAAATATTTTTTGGTCTATAGTAAAAGATTAAAAGGATACGACCAAGATTAAGTGGGTGTTTGCTTTTCATTTTGAAACGCAATTCTTTCGTCTCTCTCCACGTTTACATACGAATTTACGTAAAAGCAGCTATTCATTGCTTCAAGTTGAACGTGAAAAACCACGTTAAAACGCGGATGCAAACATACGGTAAATTTCGTGAAAAATTTGTGTTCAAGTATTGAGAATCATTAAAAACAACTTTATAAAATGAAGCATTTAATAAATCAAGATTAAGTACTTACATATTCAAATGTCTTAAACATGTGACTAGTTTGTTGTCCCAAATTTCCTTAAATAATATTTTGTTATTTGATTCAATTTTTAAAAAAGGAGAGGAGGAGAATGAGGAAGAGTAAAACTAAAATCTCTCCTCATCTAAATTTTGCTCTCCTTCAATATTAGAGATTTAGAGGAGAGGAAAGTAAATTTAAAATATTTTAATTATATTGTTTAAAATATTTTTATTTATATTTTTTAATTTAAAATTATAAAGATACGTAAGTAAAATAATTGAACCAGGTAAAAAAAAACATCTATCTCTCTTCTTCTTAATCAAACAGAAAATTTTAATTTATCTCCTCCCTTCTTTAAAACTTCACCCTTCTCTTCACCTCTTTTAAATCAAACAAAGGCTTAAACATTGATGTTAGAATGCACGTAAGGAGCAAATATGTCTTCAACCTAAATAATTTAATAATTATCTAGCCGTGCATGATAGAGTGAGAAGAGAATCCCCTCTCAGTTCCTTTACTCCATAATTATCAATAATAGTAAGGACTATACATGACAACTGACAAGGGTGTCAAAAGACAGAAAACAAAGTCGACGTTCACAAATCACAACAGCCAATGGTCCACCCAATTTGTGTCGTGCAAGTATTCTCAGCCATAGTCCTTTATGCCTTTAACGGATTCCTCACACTTAATTACGTATTTATCAAACTCCCACTACTTTATTTTCTCAAAATCAAATTCAAAAGTATTTCTTCCATTTCCATTAAAATAAAATAAAAACATATTCTCCAAAACAGTGCCTATGCCTACTACGGTGGGCCTCATTGCCAAACTCGGAACCATTCCCAATTTCCCCCGATTCAGAGTGTGTGGTGTTGGTGTTGCAACACTTGCACCCAACCACTGCCACTTTTCTTTCACCATTTCCCACCTTAGCAACTTCAACACTACAACCCCCACCTCTTAACAAACATCATCATAACTCATTCAGAGAGAGAAAGAAACAAAAAAATGAACCAAGACGCCAAAAAAAACATTGCTGGGCCTCTAACGGCGAGACCCGACTCCGATGACCGGAAACCTTTACCGTTGCCGTCAACGGCGCCGCCTGTCCCCCCGAAGAAGGTCATCATCAAGAGCGCCGACATGATCTCCGACATGCAGAAGGAGGCCGTTGATATCGCCGTCGCCGTTAGTTTTTTTATCCTCTTTTTTTCCTTTGTTGCAGGCTTGCTCGTTTTGGATTCTGTTTCTGGGTTTTGTTCTGCTTCCTGTGTTGTGTCGTAAAGGCTTCACCTTTTTGCTGATGAATCAGGCGTTTGAGAAGTACAATGTGGAGAAAGATGTTGCTGAGCAGATAAAAAAGGAGTTCGATAAAAGGCATGGCCCCACGTGGCATTGCATCGTTGGTCGTAATTTTGGTAAATCCTTTTCTTCTTTTCTTGCACTTGTGAATGATTTTGGGAATTGGGTTTACTCGGATTTGTGGTTTATGTGATGTGATTCTTCTCTGGTGGAATTTGAGTAGATCTAAGGTTATGTTGGCTGGTCCTGGTTCATGGTTTGAATTTAGAAGTGGGCTGAAAACTAGGTTGTTGGCTGCATATGGTTATGGATTTAGATTTAGAGGCATTCTGGAAATCTCTACTCTCCAGGGGGAAATTTTGAGCTGAATGGTACATGGATATGTAGTTTAGTTGGTGTGGTTTGTGTTGATGAATCATCCTTACTTTTGTACTGTGGTGACAGACATTTTATTCCACTATGCCCTGAACTCTGCTCTTTGACTGTACCACCTGGGCTGCCAAGGATTATTTTTTCCCTTCTTTGTTGGTTTAAAAGTCTTTACTTTGGTTACTGGAGGAGAAACGGATGAATGTAACATCAACTACTTACATGTTAATATTTTATGCTAGTATCCTCGAATTACCTTGGCTACTCAAATGTGAACTTGATATGTGGAGAGCTTGTCATATTGGATTAAATATTCTTCACTGATGTTCTGTATCCTTATATAAGTAAATACGGTTGTTGCTTAGATTAATACTGAGCTAATTACTGTAGGGTGTGCTGAATTTTTAAGTTATATCTAGTTGGAGACTAGGAATTCAGGTTTGATCATTGCTGGATGAGCTGTTTTGCTGTGAATGAAGGGGCCGTTTCTATTTAGTCCATCCTCTTCCTGACAATAGGTGTCTGTCTTTCATATTTTGTGGACATCTCAGTGTCAGTTCTTCATCCTGAAAGCTTAAGAACATTTTGGAGATAAAAAAGTATTTAGTATTTACAATGGATGCTCCTTCTTGAGTCTTGGATATTATCTAGTGTCATTAATATTTCAAGCATCATTTGATGTCCATAATCTTAGGGGCTTTTACTTGAATATGTTGTGTGAGTGCACAGTAATATGATTCAAGTTGAAGTTCATGAAACTTGTAATATTTATTTTAAAATCTAGTAAAGTTGTTAATCTGAGTATAATAAAGCTTTAAGGTTTTTGAGTATGTCAATGGATTTTGTCTCTTTGTGATGTTCTGCTTTTCAAACTTTTAGAGATATTCATTAGTTGATACTTGAAATTAATATTCAAGCAGAATGAAGAGTTCTTTCATTCATGATTATCTTTTCCATGTTTTCACCCTTCTCTGTCAAGAAAATATGCATGTTAGATGATAACCTCCATAAGCAGTTAGTTATGATAGGTTAGTTAGTTAATTAGGGGTTATGTTGAGATTCAAGGTCAGCTAATAGGACTTTGTGATAGTGAGTGATTATGTGAAAAAGGAATTCAATTTTGAATCTTTCACAATAAAAACCACTTCCTACTAGGTTGAGTTGGTTATATATATGGACCAAGCGATATCATTTTGTCATGTCAAAAACCAAGTCTTCGGAGATGGCAGTGTTCATAAAATTGATCTAATCCATTGCAATATCTTATACTTAACTGAAAAATCGATATACCTTCTTTCCCTTAACAAGTGCTGCTTCTACTTTCTCCCTAATATATTCATTTATGGTCTTATCTACTCGTGTAATTCCATTCATCTTACACATCATCACCACCTCTACAATACTTAGCTTATGCTCTTGGTACTTCATTGTCCAACATCAATCACCATAAAACATTGTTAATCATATTACTTCAAAGTGAAACTTACCTTTAAGCTTGAGTGATAACTTCAAATCACAAGAAATTTACATCTCCCTCTAACTCTTCATACTTTGTATGATAGACTCAAGTGACCTAAACTTTTTGCCCTGTTGTATGCATTATGGAATTGTTGCTATATTTGCATTATTCATAAGTTAAAACTTAGCATTAACGTAATCATGTTGTCTATCCATATAATACAGGTTCAGTAAAGTTCCTTGTTTACTAATGACTGTTGAGTGCATAGCATAACTTCCTTAGTTAATTCTGACTAGCTATGTAATGATTTGGAATAAAGCACAACATAAGCAGAGTTAATTCTGAATTTTTTAACTTCTTTAGTAAAATGGTGTCTAAACACACTGCACTCAATGGTAAACGAATGTTATTCTTCTCCCATGATTTTTTAACTTTAAATATCTGCATAGGTGATTCTTCTCCCATCATGTTAAATCAGTTTTATGGTTAAGAACCACATTTAAAGAGAGAACATTGTGTTTCAATACATGGGAGCATTAAAGGGTTGAAATATTTATGAAATTTCCGGACTTCCCAAGTTCAGCTAACAGGTCCTTTCATAATACCAAGCTTTTATCAAGCTTAAATTGCT